CTGCTCCCGCTGCTGCTGCTCCCGCTCCCGGCCGGTGAGTGGAGCCGGCGCCGCCGCCGGCGGGGGGGCGGAGGGGGAGGGGGGCCGGGCCAGCCAACACCTTCGCGCGGGGTGGGGGAGAAACGCTTGGCAAGACCGCCGGACGCGCCTGGGCAACGCGCAACTCACCGCGAGGGAGAAGCCTGAGACCCCAGCGGGCAGCTGGCGACCCCTCCGCTGCTCAACCCGCAACGTGGAAGTTACGGTTCGCGAAGGTTGTGTGATACTGCCCTAAAGTTCTTCAGTAACGTGCAAGTGTGTTGCCAAGCTCGGTATTTAAAATCAGGCTGCAGAACGCGGGTTGCACGTGTAATAATAATCCGCATGCGAAGCGGATACGCTTACCCACACCCTATTTGTAGGTTTTATACAGGAAGCTATCTCGGAGCATTTAAGTTGCAAATAACTCAAAAGCTAGGAATGGCTAGGACTAAGATTGCCTGCAACACCACAACTGCGGTGTTCTGAAAGAATGAGTCAGTCTTTATGAATAAGTTAGGATGTGAGGATGTAATTAAAGGACCCCTGCCTCATTCCTGCCCATAACAGACAGTACTCACTCTGCAAGTATTTAATTTTTTTGTCTCCTGCTTATTAAATAATGTGTATTCCCATGCCCTATTTATTAAGCAGTATTAAAGGCCAGCTGTAACAATTTACAGTCTGTTTCCTCAGATTTTCTGAGGTATCCATCACTACAGTACCTGAAAGTACTTATTTCCTTAACTTCTCTGTGAAACTATATTATTATCCCTTTTTTGCAGATAGGTAGCTGGGCTGACACACAAAAAAGCATCCACTGATTTTAAGTTCCCATGGTGGCATGTTACAACCTGATTTTTCCCTACTGTGCTAAGTGGAACTACTCAAAGCCTGGCTCTCACCAAGTATTTTAGTAGTATGGTACTCCAGCCCTTGGATATTCAGCAGGTTAGGAACATACTACTAGTAAGCGTTGATTGGCAGTGTTTTAAAGTGATTAAAGTAGCCTTATATTGAACCTCTGTGACAGCTGCAAGGATAAAATCCAGTTTTCCAGAACAGCATTCAGCTGCCTTAATTATGAGATTCTCTTCTGTCTTCTTGCACTTTACACATTTCTGCACAGCTTGCAAATTCGCCAAACCAATCTGGCAAATGGAAAGGTCCTACAGACAAGAGCTTCAATTCATCCTTATAGCGGATTCTTTTTGCGTACTGAATGAAGCAGGGGTCTGGGGAAAAAAAACACAATCACGTGATCGTAGAGCATAAGGTGTTTGCATAATGGGGCCAACTTAAGGTTCTAGCAAGCTCATTGCCCCAGTTCCCGACCTCGGTGTGCCCCTGTCATTCCCCCTGCGTTTTGATCAGATTTCATCCTTTGCACAGCACAAACCTCAGCAAAAACATTAAGGAAAGCAATGCAAGACTTTACTTTGGTTCACTGCTTCTACCAGCCTAGAAAAATCATTATAGGGAGAGCCTGGCTTTGGTCCTATAGCTCTGAGTCAGAGATCACAGTCACCCATTCTGTAGGCAGCGAGGAGGAAGGAAAAGGCAATTTTCCTGTTTCTCAACGCTTGATCCACAAAAGTCAAAACAGACAAATATATCCATTCAAAAAAATTTACCACATGACCACAGTTTGTAGAGATAGCATGTCAGTAGTCTGGGCAGCAAGATGAGCTGAGAAAGGCCACTCTTGATGGCATATGAAACCATTGCAAATCAAAGCAAAATCAGTTTCTACAATGCATACAGTTGTTCACAGGTTTCCACTTCTAGCAAGATCTTGGATACGCATCAGAAGGACTGTCCTCCCAAGTTTCCAGCTCCAAACTACTGGAGCACTATGACTTTACAAAGGAAATATTGCAATATGTAATGCTAAATATATTTAGCATCACAAATATTTTTGTCACCTCAGTCTTCGAAAGAATGAAAATATTTTGGCTTAAATTCTTTTAAAACCCATAAAGCATCACAGACTAACAGATGCTAATAATGTTGTTGCGTATCACAGTTATATGAAGTTATGTACCTCAATACAAATTTATTTGTAAAAATATTTTAACTATTATTTTTGCATTGTGCCAATTGCAAAGAGAAAAATCTCAAAGGAAACATACAAGAGTTTTTTTTAATGAAAGGCTATGTTTCTAAAATATATTTTTTCCTCCTTGCATATAGAAACTTAGGACTGGACTGGATTTATTTTGTATTATAGCAAACTAGGTGACCAGAAAATGAGAACAGGAAGTTATAGTGGAAAATATCTTGCAAAGACATGGTAACGTACAGCACTTAGCACAATCTAAACTCTCAAGAGCTTGTACCAGCAACGAACCAATAGATAGTATAATGACATTTATGTTCTCCATACACAGCAGGACTCTAAATTGGGTAACAACCCAAATTACAGACTTAAAATTAAGCACAACAGAAGCACATTGTGACTACTTACTGTTATTTTCTCTCAGGCTGTCTTTAGTGTTTATTTAATTTCAGTCTTCAGAAAGTCGCTTCATGCCTTTTGATCTCTGTGGCTTAGTCATTAAAATCTCAAAAACAACTGCATAATTTTTTTTCTCTTTTAAGTTTTTTCTGCCTAAAGTAGTCTCAGAGTTGGTAAGGTTTTAGTTTCCCTTCAACCTTTACTTTCAAAGCAGGTACCTAGTGTCCAGTTACATCTGACTTCGCTGATGAACGAACCTCTCAAGCTTTTTTCCTTCCAAATATCTGTCTTAGGCAGATGTTAGTGGTGATACTGCTTTTTCAGGAATGCATAATCAAACTTACAGGAATATTCGTGTCCATAAAAATAATGAGAAGTCTCTGTAAAAAGAAGCAAAAGCACATAGAAAGACTTTTAAAATATATCTTAATAGTAAAAAGTTTGGAAGCATGCAGCAGTATGTCACTTCACTCTTTGTTTTAATTCCACACAAGTTCTAATATTTCATTATTACGCTGCTAATACACTAAAGGTACCATCATCACACCAATATTCTTATTGTTTCATAGTTCTATGGGTTCTAAGACAGTTTCTCACCTCTTATACTCAGATTATAAAGCTGTTGGGATAGAGACTTTTCCTTCAGTCATGCTTAGAACATCTAGTACAAAGCAGTCTTAGTTTATACCTAGATGTCCGGATGCTGTAACACAAAGAATTTGCAGGGATAAAAAGTGCATGTCCTTCCTTGATATGGCACACTTCAAAGAATTATACCCAAGTTCCCCAGAGAGGAGATTGGTCACCACTTCCACTTTGCACGAACGTAAATCAAGGGATCGGGATTTGTCCAAAGATAGCAAGCAATTCTCTGTGACCAGGAATACAGTTTGGAAATTCTTAGTTCCCTCTTCCTGTCTTGTGGCACTTCAACACTACCCTTTCTTAGTGGCCAGGAACTGAGATAAAGCGAATAAATTCTTCACTTTATTCAGGCATTTCTTTAAAACCACTAACATCAAGCAGAACAAACCCAGCTTTGCCATTAATTACTACTGCGGCTCCTTCAGTCCTTACTGGCTAGTAACAATAGCATAGCCAAATTTCGGTAAACTTTCAAGAACGTGAGTGGTTGTCACTTGTAATGCTGCAGTCTTACTGCAAAGTTTTTTTCAGATGGCAGTTTACTGAACCTGTACTGACAGTGAAGATAACACTTTCAATACTGTCAGAAAGGTAACGCTTTGGTAATACCTCAAATGCATGCTTCTACTACCTAGAGCTGAAATATATGTTCAGACAAGTGAAGGAAGAAGAGATGATCACATATCAGCTCCACAGTGTGACTGCTCTTTTGGCATCTAGAACTACAGAGATTCCGAAATAGTTGACTCGGTACATTTTGTGGACCCTTTGGGAAAGTCTGAGAGGATCACACTTACCAGATTACCAGAAATCCCAGATGCCTCAACAGCAGATAATACCATGGAATAAGAGCAATGGCACAGTATATACTATCCACTATTTTAATGAAGTTTTAGTGCAAATGGAGCAGGATTTAAATGACACTGCAAGCGACTACACAGTCAAGGAAGCTTTTTAATTCCTTAAGATGAGATAACTTGTAATTAATGGCTGAAAATGCACATGCAAGATCAAGCAGTCCTGCTTTAACATCCGCTCCTCTCCCTGTACCACAAGTCTATGAAGCAGGAGGAAACAATATTTGGGAGTAGTCACCAGTCAGAAAAGTCCTAAATATTGTCTTAGAAAGTCTAGCTACATTCATAAGTAAGGACTAACCACAAACATGCTTTCTAAAACATTTTTGCCGGTCTCATGCACAAAACAATAGTAGGTTCCTTCCTGAGGTATTTAAATCCCTTTGTTTCTTGAAATTATTAGTGCTGGAGGTCACCAACATCCCATACATTCCAAGTTACTCAGCTGTGCAAAACCTGCTTTCGAGACAATATTCTTCTGACAGATCTTCCATTAACTGATTATAGTTTCTGTAGGAAAATAAGTGTCAAAGCCCTCAGTGACAAAGTCCAAAGGGTTCTCCTGCTGTCAGTCGTTCATGGACACTGTCCTTTTTCCAGTACAGGGAGGTAAGGCTTATAAACTTTTCTTCTTATTACTAATTAAGCTCATGGTTTATTTTGGTAAGACAACTTTTTCCAGTAACCCTCATTACCTTGGTTTATACTCATTTGACTTGATAAAAACTGCTGCAAATAGCTTGGAAAAGTCCTGCACAGCAAAGAAATGCTGCCTACTACCATTGAGGGTCTTTGATCAACCTGAAAAACAAACATGACAGGTTGTTTGATTAAACAGGTCCTCTAACTCTCATCCACGTACCAATGACTGACAAATTGCTGGCATCTAGAAAGTAGCCCTAAGAAAAGGGTGTCAACATTTATCTGCTGCTGTGGACCTATGGTTTTAGTACCAACCTGGATAGCTTAAACAAAAAAAAAAGTTGCTGAATATGACCGTGGTCTGCAGAAATACTGGTGAGAAGAGTCCCTTAAGGAAAATCCTCTTCAAATTCCCCTATAAATGATTTCAAGCCAAAAACAAAAATTAAAAAAAAAAAAAAACACTTGGCTTTCTAGCTTAAACGTGAGGATGCCGTAGTGGAAAAACAGAACCCCATCCACAGAAAACATTCATACAAACGTAAAGCATTATATTCTACAGACCGATACTGTTGCAGAAGAATAACATAGGCAAAAATTGCATTTTAAGATAATGAGAAAATACTGTAATGCTTATGGCATCTAATCTTAGCAGACTAGTTGACCTAGACCACAGAACACATGCTTGCCATAGCCACAGTTTTAAGAACAGGAATAACTGAAGTCTACTATTATATGCTGTCTTGATAGGGGGAAACCATTGCAGCTGTTCAGAATGCTGCTCAGTATTTTGCTCACTACAGAGCGGGGTGAAAAGGGACTAGGTCGAGGACAACTAGTCATTGCGGCCCCAGAATGTCAGAACCAAAACAAGATATTGCTTTATTATTCTCGAATTTTGATTCATTATCAAAATTATGGGGAAAAAAAAAAAGGACCATGTAACTGCAGGAATGATTCAATATTGACTGAAGAGTTTTCCCCTCCCCCCCTTCTCTGCCATTTATAAAGGTACAGTTGGAGAAGCCCATTTTAGGAATCGAAGAGGAATTCTAGAATTAGCTGGAGCCATCAGATGTACTACAGGACGTTCTCCTTTTGCTTACCTACGCTACGGATGCTACTGTGGTCTGGGAGGAAAAGGCTGGCCCAAGGACAAAGTAGATTGGTAAGAGTAGCTACTTATCTGATTAGTTAAGTGCTAAATTTATGCAGAGGATAGAGTAAAAGGATTAAAATAAGAAATAAGCTTATTTAACCTCAATGAGAGAACTGAGTTTAAACGCACTCTGGAGTGCTAAGAAAGTCTGAAGCATTAAAATTGTATTGCTGTGTATCTACATGAGTCTTCCTTTAACTCAAGCTCTGACTGCGCTAATATTGGCCCCACAGTACAAGTGAGTTTCTCAGCTGTTGCTGTTTGGCCAAGACTTGAAGACCTAAAGTCTTCTTGGAGAACTCAAGTCTTCAAACTTTCAAGCTGTCTATAACAATATTCACAATTGAAAATGTTCTTATTCTACTGCCATCCACCCTATTTTACACGTATTCAAAATAATGCACACAGAATTGTGCAAAATTCAGCCTGTTGAAAAACAACATTTGAATGAAAGGAATTATGAATTGTTTCTAAAATAATTATTAAAATAGAACTTTCGTGTTTAATACTAAATCTCAGCATACTGACAACCATGAATTGATTTTATAATTGAAGATTAGCTGTGAGGAAGGTAATTTCCTGGTTAGATTAGTTAACTAAAGGTTTTACACTTTCAAGTTCATCGTTATAGTAGTATGTTTACCCATCGTATGTTATATCTCAAGTTCTGACTTATCAGACACAGGCTTATAAATCAAAAGGAAAACAAACATGAAACTCATTTAGGGCAGAATATATGGAAAGATCACATTTGAACATTTTGCATAGACATTCTCGCTGTCACTAGACTAAAACTTTTATAATCTTTGCCTAGATATTTCAGACTTTTGCATATAAAATCTGTTATTTCAAACACAACTCTGTAAAATGCAGTTTCTCCTTTAATGCCTCGGAACACATATGGAAAGAAGGACCTATTGTTAGTTCTGGCCACCGTATTCCCAAAGACAAATGATGGGGTATCTGCAGCCTGCGAATCTTTCCTTGTGGGTATGTTTTTCACTTTACAAAAGTCTCAAAGTAGCAAGAAACTTCCTCTTCAGGAAATACAGCTAGTTATTTGTGGTCTAGGTTTTAGTAATGTATAATATTAGGAAAAGCCAGAAGTGAATGTACTTGTTCTGCTTCAGCATTTGAAACAGAATCAAAAAATTGCTCTAGTTAACATGCAGAGTCAAACATTCTTATCAAGTTTCCTTTCTTAAAGTTTGACCTACACTTTGGACTGTCTACCTTAAGGATTATCCCTGAAAACAAATTAAAAGAAATTACAGGAATACTTCATCTGAACCAAGAATGCCTATAATGGAGTTATTGAAGTAACAGTTATTACAATTGAAACTTATGCCTACCATTTGTAAAAATATACTTTCAAATGGAGATAAACCTTATATTGCTTTCATAAGATCAAATGTAAAATCCTTAAGCATCTACTCTTATGTTTAAATGAAGACTAAAGTTATTTAATATTTTAGCAAGAGATGTTTTCTTACAGAGTTTACTATTTCCTTGTAAACACATGAAGATAGACTGAACCATGGCAAAACAAGCTACAGTTCCCTGGTTTATTTACCTTTGTCCTGCAACAAATACTCTTTTTTTTTTTGTTTTTTAAAAAAGACTTTTTCCCTTATGCCAAAATGGATGTATTAAGCTACTTCAAGCACATTGTGCTGTTCAGCTATAAAGTATTTCAGGATCTTTGGATCTTTAAATGAAGAATGGTGTGGAATTACCAAGTAATTATTTAATAAGCATAAGAAAAAGGCAGTAATTGCAAGTGAGAGCTCACAGCATTAACTTTCTCATGCAGACACAAGTTCCTCAGGCAACCTAAACACCATCTAAAAATCATGTGCCTTCTGTAGTATGATGTTTTTAGGCTACCAGAAAGAAACATATGACTGAATGTAAAGAACTCGCTGACACATACTGTCCTTCCACGGAATCAAAGAGAGTACAGTTACAGCTTGCAGCAAAGACCGACAAGCTCTAATTACAGATCCTTGTTACCTCCCCTACTTCCTATTCTGGGCTTGCAGTGGCTCTGCACCAGAAGAGTAATTCTTTTTTAAGCGCTAAAATAAGCCATTAATGCTTACTTGACAATACTGTTCAGGTCCCCAGTGTGGTAGAAGGGCTATGAATTCACTGTCCCAGTTATGAAAAGAACAATTTTGAAAGCATCATTTGGGGCAATTTCCCAAACTTTCTCATGATACCGAGGCAAATGGTTTTAGTAACAGTATGGGCTTAAACAGCATCCATGCCTATTCATCCCTGAACAATTCATCTGCCCTCAGCTTTTCTGCCACCATCTAAGGACTTTGCTATGAGAATGCAATTAGGATAATAAGTTACAGCCTAACAATTTTTTTTTCCCATCCCTGTTAGTAACTGTTATTGTTTTTTTTTTTTTCCCATCCCTGTTAGAAAACAATTTTTTCCCATCCCTGTTAGTAACTGCTACAAGAACATCCTTAACTGTAGTAAATGAATGTGCCATTCATTATTTGACAGACTGTTCTAGTTTGTTTATTCCTCTTTTTCTTGGAAGGGGTAGGAGAGAGGGATACCTACATAAAAGTCTATTACGTTTAAAATTGAGAATACTTTAAAGATTCCCTACATTTTCATATGTGAGCAAGTTCAGTTCAGTGTACATCAGACACTAACTCTGATCATCATTGATTAAAGAAGAATAAACTTGTTCAAGTGATCTATTAAATAATTATTCTCCTCTCCTAATTCCTGAGCTTGCACACACAGATAAATTAACTGTGTGTTAAATATTATTTCATTATTTCACAGACTATAGAAACATGCTGATACAAAACATCCTGATTATAAGAGCATACATTACTATAGTACGAATGACGACAAGTCTATTTCTGCAACTCTCAGGTGCTGTTTTAACCATGACTGCTGCTACGGTAAGGCAGAGCAAGCAGGTTGTCACCCCAAGATAGAAAGTTACAGTTGGGAATGTGAAGACAATGCTGCTGTGTGTGGTGAGTGAACAGTTTTAGTTTTTAATTTTACCTTTATTTATTGCCTATCGGACCTTAAAAATAGTCATTTGCTTAAAGACTTGCAAAATTCTTATTTTGCCTTCCCTGCTTGTAGGACTTTTTTGCCAGTGTAAGCTGTATCTCCAAAAAGCACAGCTATGCCAGTTGAATGTAATTTCTTCTACCTAATTCCTGTCTGCTAATATGTGTAAGCAAACCAAATTCTGATTTGTGAGCTTCTATGATCATTGTAGAGAGCACTACAAAAGCCTCCTCTGTTTAATCAAGTTAAACAGCATTCACATATGTTAAGGAACCCATGTTATGCTACACCACTGCAGGTCACAAATTAAGTCTTCAACAGGAGAGCAACTACAAACAGGAGGCCAGAAAATTACAACTTTAAAATTTATCCTTTTGATACTTTTATTTTTTGTTGTTGTGTGTGGGGTTTTTTTTTTTTTAAACACATGGTTTACAACTCCCACCAACGTTAAACAAAGTTTTCATATATATTTTTTGATACACTTAAAGGACTTTTTGAAACTATGCTTTCCCTCAAAAGCCCCTAAACTTTCAGAATTTTTTTAAAATCAGGTGCTAAACCAAGATTATTTTGCTTGTAATTCTGTACTGCTACCCAGGATGCAAATCAGCTTGAGAACTGGTTACTATTTACACCACAAGAATTCAGACCTTCATTAAAAAGTTGTTTATAGCAGAGGGTCTGAGTTTCTGACCGCCATAGTTTAAAGGCAAAAAAAGTAAGCCATTCAGACAAAACACTCATTTCACAACCCAGATAAGAATTTGCTTGACCTAAAATAGTGTCAAAAAGCTTTTGACACTATTTCCTTTCCTCCTTTTCATTCAACCTTTACTTTGCAGGCTATCTTCCTCCTCTTCTCCAAAGGCACCACACATCTTCCCTCTCAAACTATCTGATTAACAGTCAAGTTACGCTCAACCTATATTTGCCTTTAAAGGTTATTGTTCCTATTCCAGACCAGAAGTTGACAATATTTTAAAACACTGTCTAAGATAGTAAGCATATTATCAAGAAACAAAAGATGAAACAAAGTACCTGGCATACCATGAGAAGATTAAGTGTGGAGCAAAAAGAAAAGGAATAGTTCTTCTTTATTCTTCTCAGTTAATGTTTTATTTATGCTATTGAGTAGTTCTTAAGGTAGCTAGTTACAACTTGAACATACATACATTAAGAACACTTCCATTTTATAGCAGAATTCAAATTCATTCACAAACTGAACGCTAGTTCTGCTCCTAGACAAATCTCGAGCAGAGATTTAGCTAGCTTTCAAAGTATTGAGTCCTCAGATAAAAGTTACCATGGATTTATAGTTTACAGAGAATGACAGAGAGAAAATATCACATTTCTGGGTTGGCATAATTAAACCAAAATATATTGCTCCAGAAGGAACTATTTACACTTCAATTATAAAACAAATGCCAGACATAGATTTTTATCATACTTAAACACATCTAACCTAACTTCTTACTGGCCACCTTAATAAAAAAGGTGGGTAATTTAAGCTGAACATTGAACATCTTTGCATCTCTTATTTCACACACGTGATTTTTAATGCTACATCCTTCAATAGCTTAAAGAATATGCAAAATAGAAAACTTCTTCCCAAACACAAGATTTGCTAGAGCAACTGGGCAGGGGGAAGGGTCACATACCACTTTCTAAAGAGGAATTTAGCTATCAGCTTTCCTTTTTTGCAGAAGGGAAAGAAGAGTATTAAAGTCTTTATCCAATGACTAATTTCTTCTGGCAAGATAGTACAGCAGATTAATCAATTTTTGCTAAACCAAACAATGCTAATGTATCTTCTAATACTGAGATGTCCTAGCATGGAGATCAGTCTAAAGAACAGGAAGGAGCTACAGATCTTGCTATAACTCAGTACTGATTATATTACACTAGAATGATGAAAACAAAACAAAATAGGATCAGTGTTTTTTATAAAAGATTACAACTGTTTATGTGGCAGACATGGAATGGAAAGTAGCAATCGTTACAATTCCATTTGATATTTTTAATTACCTCAAACTAGTATCAGACTAACTTTCATTTTTTTTCAGAATCACTAGAAGACAGATGTCAAAAAATGGCATGTGAATGTGACCGTGAAGCTGCCAAGTGTTTTTCTAAAGCCTCCTATCATGCAAAGTACCTTTTGTGGCCAGATTTTATGTGTGGTGAGATTCAGCCTTTCTGTAGATATTAGATGCAGAACACCGGTCCTTATGAAAACATGTATGTATTTAAATCTACAAAGATAACTTTTCTTGTCACAGTAGTGACAAGTAGGTTCTTGATCCTTCTTTCTGCCACCCCAACCCCTCCAGCCCAGAGTGGCCAAGGCAAATATTTGTCCTCTTGTTTATCTTCTATTGGGCTAAAAGCAAATTCATTATTTCTGTGTAAGCTTTTATTGACTAAATACTAAATAGGAATTTGAGTAACTGACTTGAAATTCATCTGGTTATCTTCAGATTCACAGTATCATTCACTGAAATTTTTCACACACACACACACACACACACACCTGCCATCGGATATGTGATGCCATCCTTTCCACTAACATTTAACTTAATTCCGATTTGTGACATGTTAACATTTGTTAACTTTGAACTGATAAGGAAAAAATGCATGAAGTGACAGTGTCAGTGTAAAGAGCCCTCTTATCTATATTAAACACTCATTACCAAGCCTGATTTAACTTTTGCCTCTCACTCTACTCAAGAAGTCTTACCTGTATTAAAAATTACTTAATATAATTATTTTGCACATATTTTACTATTTTAAAATACAGTTTTCTTAGAAGTTGTTCATTTGATACAGCTCTAGCTCCTCACTCTGTGTACACCTTGCATTTCCTATAGGCACAGGGAGAAAAAACTGTACCTTTAAAACTTTAGAGCGAGATTAAGAGCGCAAATGCAAACTGGCAACAAGACAGACATCTGAAAAAAGGAGCAGTCACTGGGACAACTGCCTTTGATCTCGCAGAAACGCATGAGTTTGCAAAGTTCAGAGCTGTGCACCTCATAAAGATGTAAAGACAGTTTTAGCTAGGGTCACATCACAGTTTTTGGAAGCCTTTTATGAAGAGAAGTCAAGAACAGGAATTGCTGAATAATACTCTTTTTCATTACGATAATTTTAACAGTTTAAGAACTGAGAATGTTCTATGTCTGTTTTGACTCTCCTGAACTCACTTAAAGCCAGAAGGCTAGACTACAAGTTTACACAAGCCAAAGCTAATGCCAAGTATATCAATACAAAAATTTAAATGATACTTCTTCAGAAAGAAGGACTATGATTTAAAAAGAGATCTTTAATCTTTAAAAATATTCATAGGCAAATTTGAAGTTCATTTTAATGATACAAATGAGAAAAACAAGACAGAATGTAAGGGGACATGGCATTTTAAAAAACAAAGTTAACTTTTGCTTCAGTCAAAAACCATACATTATCAAATGGCATCTTGTTTATACAAAATAAATTTTCAGTCAGTATTTGGTCACAGATCTAAATACACACATTATATTGCAGTAAGGTGTAATTACAGTGTCAGGTCACTTTTCCAAAATAATCCTTTTAAGAGATAACCCTCGATTTACTCTGAGGATTAGCACTTTAAGAAGACAGCATTAAACAAGCTATAGATGAAGTATAAGTGATCTGAACAAAGAAAATTTTGAATGGCAATCGCCACCTTTTCCAAAACAACCCTCAAGCGCTCTCTGCCTTCAATAGGGGGAATTTTAGAACAAAGAACGTCGCATTTAAAGCCGACTGAAAACCCTGAGGTACTTTCAATATCAAGCCGATCCAGGAACAGCTTTCCTTTGGCAAACTGAAGTTCTGAGCAACACATCGCTGGTATGAAGTACTAACTTACAGAATCACTGTAGCTGTTCAGAAGACACTAACTTTAAGGCTTTACGTAGCAGGCTTGAAAATAACCAGATATCAAAAGACAGAATAGAGAAGTTGGATTTTGTTAATCAAAATTAGGAAGACTTGATAGTATAAATTTTTAAAGACTAATTCACACATGATTTTTTTTTTTTAAACACAAAGTTCATTTTGGATAATAAAGCCCACTTTTAGCTTGGAATCTAGCTGGCTTAAGGGCGACTTACCTTAAGGCTTTTTTGCATGTTTAAGTTAACATAATCCATCATTTTCACTACCACGTACATCAAGAAGAAAAGCAAAGTTTCAATCAAAGACCAGTTTTTAGAAATTAAACTACTCAATAGTTCCAGTGCCAGTCATTGCACTTGTGTTTCCAGACGCCTAACTTCTTTAACCACGAGATCAATATTTATAATTGGGTTAAAGTACAAGGCCCAATAAAACAAACAATTGCAGACAAACTGAGGAATAAAAGGCCAAAAAACGGCAACAAAAAGACCCTGGGTTGAGACTTTCCAGAAATGTCTCCACATTCTGTGAGGAATTGTCCTGTGAAAAAGGAAAGGGAGAGGCTTAGAGGGACTTTCTATTTTGTTTTTAAACCATTCTAAGAGCAGCTGTAGTCTCAAACGTGCTGCAGTCTCAAATTAACGCTCAGTTATCTACAAAACATCATTTTGCAATCTGGAAAAACTTTCTTAAAACAAAGTAATACTAAATTTTATAAGAAGAAGCATTAAGCAAATTTATTCTGACCACAAAACACAGCAACTTAAAAGTAGTCAAATTCCAGATTTGTCACAAATTATTTTGATATGCCTTGTTCTCTTATGAGCATGTTCTGCCCCCTAACTGTAGACAGAGAAAATGAAAACCCATACACCATCAAAGCAAGAATTTCTCCCATGCAAATTCTAAAAACCTATCACCAAAAGATCATGACAGTCCCATGCAGATTCTAAAAACCTATCACCAAAAGATCATGACAATTATGAAGTCTTAATTTAGACTAAATTAAATTAAGACTAAAGTAGTAACTGAAAATAGAAATTCTAATCACATTGTTGATTGCCTATCAGAGAAAATATCAATGTAACTATTCTGTTATTTACGATCCTGAGCAAGCATCCTTTAATAACTATCAAAAGCATATCAGAACAACATTCTTACGTATTTAGTTCCCAGCAGACCACCAATTCCAATTACCATAAAGGTGTTTCTCAATGTAAGTTAATATTTACCTAGCACTTAATGTGCACACTACCATTACTGCATTTGCTACATCTGAACAGTAAAACCAGCTATAAGAAATCCTTTCAAGTATTCACAGAAAGAAAGATATTCAAGTATGAGCACTAGCGCAGATTCAGATTAATACATTCTTATTAACAGAGTTGGGTTTAGCCATTTCAGCAAGAATTGTGAAACCATGACAGATGGTTATTTTCTTATTTATAAGGCCACGTACTTCCTATCCTCTTCAACAAGCTCAGTAAGACTTACTTCAATTCTCTTCTTGACCACAGCCTCCAAAAGGAGAATAATTCCAGAACAGAAAGCAACATGGCATTTACAATTATAAATCTTGATGTCCAGTAATGCACCTCCAGCCAGTCCCAAGCAAATTCAGCTATCAACTGGTATGGCAAGAATAAATACTTTACAATGAATTCTCTGCACTGTTTCCAAGTAGGATCTTTAAGGTCCTATAAATTAAGATAAAAAGACTGTGAATCAATTTCATATTAAATAGACAAAATAACAGTTTACTGAAATACCGAAATATTTAATATTTGCTTTTTCCTACATTGAAAGCAATATTTTATCTTTACTACATTTTCTGATAGACGATATTATAACTCAGTAATTTCCATTAGATTAGCATAAAACATCACAGATAGTCAGGCTTCACGCTGTCTTTAACAAAAATCAGATATTTAGAGTGAAATACCTTTCTATAGTCACTTGGATGTTAAAAAAAAAAAAGTTTCACAAATATGAAGTCTTAAAAGCCTTAAACTAATCTTATTAAGGGTTATTGTATGATTACCAGTAGCATGACCATAAAGTGAAGGAACTACTTACTCTAAAATAATTTGTTTTTAAAGCTGTATTGTAAAAAGATGAAATGGTGAAGAATTACATCATGGGGTTTTCACTAGGTAGTCTTAAAGTGCTTCAAATTAGAACAAGTAGCATATTTAAAGTTCTGAACACCTACTAGTAGTTTTGTGACAGTATCTTCGTATTCAGCTTCTTGCATAGGACAAATTGTGTGGATGAAAGGTAGGAAAGTTTCTGCATAATCAAACAAGTACAGGTATAACATACTGAGTCTTGGAGAACTCTTCAGCGCATACAGAAGAAAGAGTGATTTTCCAGGATTTACTGCCTGAAAGGTATCAAATTATCAAATTTCAAACTATGAAAACAAGCTGGAAGAGGCATACCAGTTGTTAGACGTTTCTGATGATCTTTATTTTTTGTTCCAACACCATCTCTTTCAAAAATAACTGTCCATTAACTAAGCACTTTCTACAGACACAATTCTACTGCCTTAACCTACTTCTGAACTTTACTTTTCTTTCTAAAATAGTATTTTAAAAATGCTTAGTATACATGATGGACTTCATACAAAATTTACCTTATATTCCCAAAGGTTCTGTGGTGGTTTAACCCCTAAAGTTTTGACACATTCCAATTCCGTCATAATAGCTTTTCTATGATTATTGTTCTCTATATTGTAAGGCTCTTTTGTGAAATCTTCTTCTGTCAGTGTTAGAAGTAGCCTTCAAAAACAGAAGAATTCAGAAGGTAAACAGTGACTATTCACACACACACACACACACAAAAGGACTAACAAATTAGCAATGAGATGCTGAAACAATAAGCTACCGAGAGAAGATACCACCTTTTGACTAATGCTCCATACCAAATCTTCTGAATCAACTGCATCTCAGAGCCTAGGTTTTAAATATCCCTCTTTTCAGAGTTTTCTCTTGCTTGTGCTCAGCATGCAAATTTATTAGCATGTTGGGTATTAATGAACACAGTACTTCACAGATCTAATTTGTGTTCCTGAAGGCAAACCTACAGCTCTAAGGTACACTTCAACGATGCATATAGCGTATGCATATTTTCAGAAGAAAAGGTGTGGTGGAGCTGTTGGTAATGCATTAGTAGAATTTTACTTTCAGTATCATTTCAGGCCATACTGTTAGCATGTAAACAAGTCGCTAGAAAAACGTCAGGTAGCTTGCTTAATTATTTACTACTAGTTTTTAAACGAGATGTGTTAAACTACTCCTGAATTTTACTCCGATATATCCACAGAATATTCCCCCAGTCTACAGAACAAAGTCTCGTCATTTTGCAATATAGCATGCCTAATGAAAGCTATCCAGTCGTCCAGTCAAGTGACAGCTGCTCTTGTCAGTGAGACTTCTCACCTTCCATTCACCTTCTCACGCAAAAATCTTTCTGTATAATGTGACGCCCATGGGCCCAGCTGCTCTAGCCAAAGTATCACTTCTTCAGCAGTCCATTTAGCAACAGGCTTTTGGACAAGGAGATCATCTTCAAATTCTCTGCTGCTCCAGTGATACCCGAGCAGAACTACCTACACATACATTAAAAATAAAAAAAAAAAAAGAGATCCTTTACCTGCAAAGCAAATACATTAATGATACGAGGAAAATAAACATGCACTCAAGTGCCTGACATGTAAAATCACCCATTTTAAGGGCCCTGGAATATTCAGCTTATAAGAAAGTTTGAGCAATATCTTGAAATTTTACTTGGTTTGTCTAACTTCCATTTGCTGTATGCTGCAATTCTAGTTCCTGTCAGACAGCACTGAATGCCACCTAATTTGATTAGCTCAACTGAAGTCTCTTGTAGGCTGACAACATTTGTATGTATGTGTAATTTAAGTATATTTGATTACACACTTAATGAAGTAAATATGGAAAAGCATCAAGATGAAACTTACTGCTACACAAGTTAAAGCTGTCAGAACGCCTGAAAAAAATCCTCCTCCTCGAGGATTAATTCTTCTCATGTTTGGAGCTGTAGGAATCTGGTCATTCCCATATTTTTGGAAGGTTGCTAAACTGCGTGCTATATCACTGTTTTGTTGAATATCTTCTTTTCTTTGTTCAATGGCATCAGAAAATAGCTTTTCAATAACATCCCTAATGGGAAAAATACTTGTCATTGTACTATAACCCACTGATGCTTAACATTCAGAAAAGGGACTCATTTTTAGATGTTTGTTTTCCAGCCTCTACTAGAGATAGTTTTAAAAGCAAGAAAACATTTGTTACTAATACTTATTAGAGCAAAGTTAAACTTCAACCAGTCACTTCAAAACAGCATATTCCTTAGCTTCTGAAGATTGAAGAAATTAAAATGTCACATTAAAAAAATTAAGCCTTATTTCATTTATAAAACTAGTATTGTGTGCGCTACTAGCAAGGCTTGCTTATTCAAAAATGGTAGGCAAAAGACAACATAAAAGCCTACTGTCAATCCTACAGTCTATTTAACAACATATTATTAACATAAGTCAATGTTGCCTTGAAAACGCACAAGAACTTGTGGGTAATTCAAAACTGCAAATGAGTATTTCTAGTTTTGTTCTGCAATAAGATCTCCTTTATTCTTGCACACAATTCCAACCAAGAAATAATCACACAGTTAGCAAAGATCATTCCAACTTAGAATTATTATGAAACAACTAGTTATATTAAAAGATGCAATTGTCTCAATACAAAAAAGGGATCCCACTTCTCCTTCCCCCAAAAGATTCAGAAGGGGAAAAAAAAAACCTCAGTCCCATGCAGAAAAGAGTGCTTGAACAGTTCAGAACAATTGCAGGATGTGAAAGGCTTTGAAGATCTTTGTGAAAGCTCAGATTACCAATAAGCTATGAAAAGGTGCAGCACACTCAAGAAACCAGACAATTAAGAGCATATTACAATCACCTGAGGAGGATGTTGACTTTGGGGAATCCTTCCCATTTTTCTCTGCATTCTGGACATTCATTCTTCTTGGAGGATACCCACCACAAGGCTAGGCAATGTCTACAGAAACTGTGCCCACAGTTCAGGGTGGTGGGATTGACCAGAATGTCGTAACAGCAATGGCAAAGGAACTCGCTAACTGATATCTGGCGGCTGATTTCAGGAGAAGCATGTGTTTTAACTCTTGGTGTCTCTGGTTCACTTTGTAAGGTCTCATCTTCTTCCATTTTCTTTTTATGCCTTATTCAAACAGGGAGCTGTCTTAGATTATCAAATCAAGTAAGGCATTTCTTCTGCAAAGCAACGAGATAAACTTCATTGAGAAAAAAATTACTATAGAAGTTTAGAATTGCAAGCAGAGTATGTTATCAGTGGAAAATCCTTCGCCATTACGATGGCTTTAAACTCCTTAACTTTTGAACTCAATTAGCTCTTCTCAAACTAATGCATGATCTTCTACTTTTCAATGACAATTATTGCAAAACCAGATTCCGGATGTAAACAGTTGGGCTCAATCTCCCTATATTTTCTTTTCCGTTGTTATGTATCACATAAAAGTGAAACCAAAAGATTCACTAACTCTGTGATTCAGATAACCTTTTTATTTTGACTGTATATTTAATCAAAGTTTTACTAAAAGACACCAATTCAAAAGAAATGTCATTAGAAAATACAATTATAGGGATTAAAAAAAACCTAATACACATATAACATAATGACTAACTTACGCCACCCCTGCTCTTTTCAAACATGTGCAATAAAACATTTTTAACATAGGTCAGTATTAGGCATTGCTATGCAATGTCAGAAAAGTTGATCCACAAAGTCATATGCTTCAAAATTGCAAGGGATTGGTCTGCTTGCCATTTCAGTGAAGGCCAGAGCTCCAAATTAACTTCTTTACTGGTAATTACTCTTTTATAGTATTTCAGAAAACATAAAGCTAGGACAGAATTTAAGATTTTCCCCTGGCTTACCAGAATAAAATTACAGACCTATTTGCTTGATGTTCCTATTATATTCTCTCAGGTAGTCATAGCTATTTCACGAGAAAAACACTGAAAGACATCACCTACTTATCAGTCATCGTATACAATGCATATGTTAGAAGTTAGCATGAATTAAAAATTTTTCTCTTCAGTCACTACCTCACCAAAACATGCTTGCTCTACTCACCATCTGAATCCTGTTTACTAAGGAGTTACCATCTTTCTCTCAAGATCAAACACAGTGAGGTACGCCTGCAAGTCGGTTAAAAAAAAAAAAAAAAGAAAAAAGAAGCAGTACAGAAATACGTACCAACGGTGCAACCAGGATCCTCAAACTGCTTACAAACATTTCTTTTCCCAGTGAAGCAAGGGTTGTTGCCTCTCTGGAAGACAGACCTGAAACACCACTTACAAGAGGAGAAATAAAAGCAAGGTTTTGCACCTAAGAACATTCTTCTAGCTTTCCTAGAAGACAGAGGCAGTAAGATTTCTGTGGGTGCAATACCGTTTCCCCACTCAGTCTCCGCACCAAACGAGAACAGTCAGAAGTAGAAGGCTTGCTAGTGCCTCTTCTGCCTCGTCTTTCCTACTTTCGCCTCCTTCCTCCCGTCTGCCTGCTTTCCCTCGGCCGAGCTGCTACCAAACCCAGGCACCGGCGCTCGGGGCCTGGTGCGACGTTACAGCCGTTTGCTCCCCCCAAAGCAAAGCAGGGCCCATCTCGTA